TGGATGTAGCTAGCTTGATTAGTGAAAGAATACTTTTCTATAGGACTAGATAGTGTAATAGCCAAAAACTCATTGTTACTAGTTTGCAAATATATTATTTAGTCTCAGCTATTATATTTGCTATTAATTAATTGGGTTTAAAATAAAATTTAAAATTTATATATTAGAGTTGTATAATAACCCTTAAAAGCTTTATTTTAAAAAGTAATATTTTGTTTATAACTCAGAATTATGTGAACATTATAATTTCTTTTAGAAAATTGAAATCAAGTATGTTGAAAGTAGTTTATATAGCCTACTCTGCTGTTAAGATATCAAAGGTGTTTTAAAGCATAGTAAACAGACACTAAACTCCTATAAGTGTTGCAGTTGAGAATCATATTTTTACAGTGCATATATTTAGCAAATTATTGCTAAAACCCATAAACTACATAGAAGATAAGTCATCAGATTCATTAATTAGTGTTCTGCTTGCACTTCATGGTCATGACTAATTATTTGTCTGAGGGAAATGATTTTTTATTGAAGTTGCTAGGGCCCATTTCAAAGAGAGAATGTCACATGTTATAATTGAATATCCCCTGCCTAGCTTTTCAGCAGTTTTCTGGATCAAAGTTAATGTTTTCCTTTCTAGGCACTTAGAATGAAGAACTGTCATTTTATTGAAAATAATCAATAACCAACCTTCACATGAAGAGTGTAAATAAACTTGTAATTTGTTCTGTTGATACTATCATTACCTGGCTTTAGCAACTTTTTGCTCTTAACTTTGATTTAGGTATAGTATATATCTGAAATTTTGCCTTATTCCTGAAATAATTCTAAATTCTTTGGCTAAAATAAACACTAGGTATTTTTATGTACTACTTGTCCCAAGTCATGACCAGATTTCTCCTTTGTGCTTGATTTCAGTTTTCAAAATCAGTTCACATCAAAATACCAGGGCTTGCCCATATTAGTGAGGCTCCAAACTGTATTTTGATTACTCCCATTTGTGGGGAAATTTCCTTGCAATGAAAATTCAAGAGATATAATTGGGGGACATTCAAAATTTACTAATCTAATATGTTATAGACATGTCTGAAGTATTCTTTTCCTAATATTCTGTGTTTCTATAAGGAGATTGAGAGTTGCTCTAGAAGTTACCAGGAATACTCTGAGGCAGAACCAGGTACCTGGATTTTCTCTTAAACTAAGCTGTATCATCAGCAAAATTAAATCTCTACAGTTAGAAAAGAATGTTCATTGATATTTCTTTGGTTTTAATGACCGGTGGATATCTTTGAAAGTGATAGTGTGCTAGGCTATCTTTATGGTAAATAAGTTCTGAAATCATTAAAGGAAAATCTGCACCAATCTGCATTTTCTAGAACTAAATTCCTAACTAATCGGCCAAGTAATAATGCCTTAGGAGAATGTGATGGGCAATAGCTTCCTGACCATTTAGGGGAGCTAATTTTAAACCAACACGTTCATAGGGGAAATAATTACTGTGCACTTTCAGTCTAAACCTTGAATGGGTCAGAATGCCTTGGTAGGAATTTGTTTAGGTAATGCTTTATTATATATATAATTTTTTTTCTTCAGTGTCTAAAGTACATTAGGCCCAAATCTGTTATCTCCTTTTAACTCCCACTGGGAGCTGCCGGTCCAGACCAGACAACTCATGATATAATTTGAAAATGCAAGAGTATTACTTAAATGCAAATAAATACTTTCTTTACTCCATTTTTAGCTGAAGTTTCTGGCCTTATAACTTTGATGGAAGATTGGCTTTGTAACCTCAATTCCCTCCTGCGTTTCATAGCATAATATCACCCCCAAGTCTGTAGATCACAGCATAACACACTCATGCTATTCTGGTCAACAGCTTCAGCTCACCCTTGGAAAAGTAGTGATTCAGGCTGAATAGACCTGATTAGCTGCACTATCTTTTATACATTCCGTGACGACTTTTGGCTCCAATACTCAGGTTGGCTCAGGGAATTATCAGCATTCAGTCACGTGAAACTCTCTTCCCCGAGTCTTTACCTGGAACCTCGTGCTGACCCAGAAGCAGCTGTTACTCTCCCATCTCTATGTGACTTTCTTACAGCTTTCTATTGACTTAAAGAATTTTAAATTCTATCTCTTTACACCTTTATTTAATAACCTCTTCAAAAATCTGGTACCAATATTGAAGGTGGTTTGCTAGAAATTATTTTGCCCAGAAATCAGTAGATATTGCTATAGAGATGGATAGATATATTTAACTCAAAGGTATTTTTGAGGTTATCTATTCCTTTTAAAAGGGAGAATCATTCACACCAGTGTGTGTTATCTAACAGTCACCTGGCCAGCTGTACACTTGGCTCTGGTGTTTTATTTTAATAACATGATCTAACTTTAGTACCACATGAAGTCAACAGTGGTCTAGATTTAGGCATATTTTTTCCCTCAGCTTTCTGTACCTCTCAACATCCCATGAGCCCTTTAACCATACCCACTTTTTGGGTTGAAAAGACTACCAACCCATCTAATTCCACCCCCAAGTTAAAATCTAGCCTTGGATTATTTTCTCCTTTTCAAGAAGCTGAAATATGGGATGTGATCATAAACCTATTACCAGTAGCTTGCTCAATAAACCTAGCAGGGAGGCTTCTCTAAGGCATATGTAATACCTATCAATGAAAATTAAATCTTATAAAATTATAGTCATAATAAAAACACAAATGAAAAATACCTTCCATATTTTTGTCATTTTGGGGGATTTTCACTGTCCTGAGGGAGGCTAATTCATTTGTCTAGTCATAAGGCACAGGGTCAGATTTAGAATCTAGGTCATGCAACTAGTAATCCTGTACCACTTATTAAAAGTGGTGATAATAATCATCTGAAGAATAGAAATAACCAAAATAAACCACAGCGGCTAACTTCTAGCTCTTTTTGAATCTTTAAATCTGAGTGAAGAAAGGCATTTTAACTTGTGGGAAGTAACCAATCAAAAACATTTATACATCTATTTGAGTGTTTCTACCTGCTCATTACTCAGTTTATTAATTATTTTTTAATGCTCTTAATGTTATTGTTTGGATAGTTTGAGAAAAATGTCATGAAAAGGTTTTTAGTTGCTGTAAAATAATGGTAAGATAGTATACAAGTGCAAAAGAATTAACATGAAAATTTTTGTATTCTTTTTTTTCTTAGCAGTTTAAAAACTGTACTTTCAATGGTTTGTTTGTTACAAGAGTAATGAATTGATTCTTATTACCACAAATAGAAGTAGTTATATGGAGTATTTTCTTTTAAAATAGAATATCTGCTCTACATTTTAAAGGGGAGATTAACAAATGAAAATACTCATTACTTCAATTTAAAATAAAATTATTAGATGAATAAATTCTTAAAGACATATTAGCTTAGTATTCTTTTTCAGATTATTTTAATTGTATTGAAACTGTTTACTAATCTCTTATAATTAAAACCAATATACATGCTAAATAAATAAAACAGAAAATAAATGTTTTCTGAGAAATGCTGGTAAAGGGGGTAAACCAGTATCTGATACTATGTTGAGTTGCTATATTTTCCCAAGATCTTTCACATAGGTTGCGTTTTTTTCCTTGAAGAAGGAAATCTTAAAAAGAGTGAAAACAAATTATTCCCCTTCTATCCTCATGCTTAAATAATATGTTACATGCAAAATACTATCCTAAAAATGATTATTCTGTCATAAATAAATTTATTTTTATTTATACTAATTTTTGGATTTTTTCTACCAAATAATTGCAAAGACTGTCAACCTTTTAACAGTAGTATTTTCTAACCATGCATGATTCATTTGACCCCACAGTAGCTATAGCTTGCTTGCCTTGTTTCTTCCCTGAAATTAAAAAAAAAAAGGGGGGGATGTATAAAAACACAATGAGCATTGGCTCTACATAGCAAGACAGCAGAACAACTTTAGTCCTAATAAATTGTTAACATTTTATTATTCTGCACATGGATGTTGGATATACATATATAGATGACTTCTCTGAACTTTCTATGTTGAATGTGCACTGTTGTTAAACTACTTGTTTTCTCCCTGCCTGCTCTTTGAAGAAGTCAATTAGGAATAATGGGAAACAAGGGGTAGGCAAAACATTGCAGTGCGGTGTTATTTCCATCTGTCTGGGAATATTTCAGCCAAAAGTTTATTTTTGGGGAAAAAAAAACATAACACAGTCTTACACACACCAAACCACAAATACTTTGGCTGCAAATTATTCTGCAGTGTTGTTGCTGTGTTGTTGCTGTGTCTGTTCTTGTGTGTAACGCTGCCACCCCCCATGCATGTGTTTGCAGATCCTTGTCTGTGTGCTTGTTCATGAATTAGCTCATCCTCTTCCTGGTCCAGGTTAAATTTAATCAATAACGCAAGAATTTATGGGTATGACTGTTAGTTGGAAAGCCTTTACTCACTTCCAAGATGTCCTTTCAAACTACATCTTCTGCTGAAATTTCTCAGTGGGATGAAGTGTTAGTGATTAGTCAACAAGTTATATGTTACCTGACTTTACATATGCCCTTGATGATTCTTGGAAAAATAATTTAATATTGTTTTATCTCAGTTTCTCCTGTAATGGAAAAGGAAGCCATTGGTATGAATCATCTTTTTAACGGTAAGATGATTTGTCCTATTTCCGCTTGACAAATGACCAGGAAGACATCAGTCTACCTTCATCATCCCTGAGTTTTTGGTGGGGAAAAATTGTAGAAACATTTAATGGAACAACAAAATATCAAAAGTAGCAAAAACTCTCCAGTAAAATTGTACTATAATTTAAAATCAACATTGTTCTACAGTAGCTGAAATGTGCAGTTTTTCCATCTTGCCTTTTAACTAACAGTATACCCATAATTCTTGGTGATTGTTATTTTTTTTCCTCCAAAGTTAATTTCTGGGCCATTGGTGACTGCACTATCTCTTACTCTAAATTGTTGTCTTAACTACATTCTTTAAAAATATAATGTTGAAGGCTCATAATATTGAAGATGACTCCAGGATGAACCCCGAGTTTGCAGACCGAATAAAACAGCTTGATAAAGAGGCATCTTATTACCGTGATGAGTGTGGCAAGGCCCAAGCAGAAGTTGACCGATTGCTGGAGATCCTCAAGGAGGTGGAGAATGAAAAGAATGACAAAGACAAGAAGATTGCAGAACTTGAGAGGTAAATTTTGTAGTCATATTATGGATTGCGAACTGTGAGTGGCCACTGATTGCTTAGTTACCCATGTCAGGTCACAGTAGATTCAGAAGGCACATACATATTTCAAGCTGGAAACAAGTTATGTATGAGGAATATGGCCTGTTAGGGATGCTGTTGTGTTTCTTTGGGATACTCAAAAGGCAATTGGCTTATCTTTTGATGGTTTATGTACTTAAGTGTTTAAAAAAATAATGGTCTAGCATTGGTGCCAGTAAAGTGTGTAAGAAATTAAAGCTTTGACTACCTGAAATCTCAGGGGTTTTTTTCCTACCAAAGACAAACATCTGTGGTTAAGGTTTTTCTCAAGCAAAGAATATAGAGGATTATACAGTAGTTGGGAATTTATTCAAGATAGGAGAGAGGGTAAGGAGTTTATGTCCTTCCAGTGTTTTCTGGCACACAACAGATTCATCTTGGGATTTATCTTTTAAGAGGACCTTATGACATTTGATAAATAAATATGTTTGAAAAGGGCCTAAGCCAGGCCTACTGGACAGCAAATTCTGTCTAAAAACAAAGAGGGTTACATCGGGTTCCAGAGTATTTAGATTTTTAGATAAATCATATCCATATTGTATTTATGTATAGTAAGGACTCTAAAAATAAGCTTTCTATCAGTGCTTTTTCCTATATTTCATGTAAGGAAAGAATTTCTGAATAATTTTACATAACTCCATAACCTTTCAAGATTCCTTATTGGTTCAATAATAAGGAAGAATTTGTCTTTCCTAGATTCAGTACATATGGAAAAGATCAGCCCAGTTTTGAATAAATCAATGAATGTTTGCCAGCTCTGATCAAGACACTTGCAAGGGCCTAAAGGACTTAAAGATACATGCAGAATAGTTCTCTATGGTCTTGTGGAAAGATCACAGGATTCAGCAACAAAAAGATCTGGGTTCAGGTTTTGCCTCTGCTTCATGCCAGCTCTGTGACCTTGAATCTTGTTAGGAGTGATTCTTTGACAACCTGTTAAAATGCATCATACTTTGCAGGCACCAATTCCCAGGGTAAGGTGGGATGGTTATATCATTATGAAAAGCTGGATGCTAAAACAAATATATTCTCAATATTAAGTAGCTCTGTATTAAATGGATAGATTAGTTCTTAATAAAATGTCAACATTTTAAAAAAGATTTTATTTATTTACTTTTAGAAAGAGGGGAAGGGTGGGGAGAAAGAGAGGGAGAGAAACAGTGATGTGTGAGAGAAACATTGATTGTGTGCCTTGTCTGCCCCCAGCCAGGGACCTGCCTACAGCCCACGCATGTGCCCTGACCAGGAATCAAACTGGCGACCTTTTGGTTCACATGCCAGTGCTCAATCCATTAAGCCACACCCTCCAAGGCCCAACATTTTAAAATATAGTATTTAATATAGTCAAACCCCAAATCAATTTATAACCATTTAAAAATCTTAACATTGGTTAGATAATCTGATTTTTATTGCGTGTGACCAGTTTAGCAGTTAAACCAATACTTTTTTTTCCTGAGTTAAGTATACTAATTAAAATATTTTTAAGGGCTTCATTTTAATTTTTAAAATGTGGGAATGTTCTGCCAATCTATGGGTTCTTAAAAGCACTGTTAATTTTAGAAATATCCACATGGCTATTTTGGAACTTTATTTTAGGATCAAAATTTTCTTAAAAAGCTAGTGTGAGATTACAGGGAAGTTATGATCATGATTCTTTTATTGGTGAAAAAACTGAGATCCAGAAAGATTGAACAATTTTCTGAGTTGGTCATGTGGTCAGAAAGAGACAAAATTGTAAGGTAGGTTTCCCAACTCCTGGTCCACTGCTGTGAGAAACAGTGAGCCACTGAGAAGATGCTTTAGATAGTAATACTGATGATTTAATAATAGTAATGAGAATCACAGTAATAGATTATATATAGTTTATGCTAACAGTCTATCAGGTACTATATATTATTTAATCTTACCCAAAACAAATCCCCGTTTTATAGATAAGTAAACTTTGACTTCATACAAGTTAGGCGACTTCCTCAGGGTTGTAGTTTACAAGAACCAAGTCTGGCTTTGAATCCCCAGCCTGACAGAGGAGCAAGTATGTGTAGCAGCAAACAGTTGCTCAGCCAGCAGAGAGCCGCTGTAGCTGGGACCCAGGAGACCTGCCTCATCGTTACTAGCTTTCATGAGGGGAAGTGATGTGCCCCACATTTAGAAAGCATTTTTCTGCACTAAACCAGATCTCCAGAACTATAATTGAAAATTAGGCTCAGCTACTATAAATATTTGCATAAGATAGCATAATTTTGTAGTTGGATAAACAGGTCTTAGCTGGATGCTCTTGCTATTAAATCATCAAGAATATTCACATTTTTATTTCCTCAATATGGAATGCATTAAAACAACAGTGATTTTACAAGCATTTATCTTTATGTACTTTCTGCACATTTTCTTTATCTCTGCCTTTGCCTCTCCTTAAAGCTGATGCCTCCCAGGCACTGTAATTCATAATGCGTGTGGTGGGACTTGACTCTGACCCAGTTCTCTGCCTGCCTGAGTCTTGGGTCCAGCTGCAGGACAACAGTCTGGGAAATGTCTGAGCCCCAGCCCCAGCCCAGGCCCCTAAAGAGCTGGGACTGGAGCTCAAGAGGGGACACTTAGGAAAAGGAGAGCACAGCCTCGGCCTGCCTTCTTGAAGCCTTATCTGCTGGACTTCGTGGACATTCTGACCGAAACATCTCTCTCGGCTCGTCAGGCAGCCTGTCTCAAATTGGGCTGTATCTCCATTCGCTGGCTGAAACTACAAACTTCATACCTCATAATGTTGGAAACTGAAGGTTTCTTAGCTATGTGACATATATCTCCATTTTGGAGTCATGGAGGAGTGTTTGCAATTAAGTTCATGATTTTGAAAACCAAAAAGTTGAAGTTGAAGTAAATTTGTGGTCTCTGGTCTGTAATGTGACCTACTAGAGTAAAAAGAGTTCTTTTTAAAAGAAGCTAGTACTCTAAAATATTCCAGAACTTCAGTCATGTGCAACAAGAGGTATGGGGTTCAGAATAACTCAAATGACACTAACCCTGGCGTATTTCTCTCTCAGAAGGCAATTTGTGTTTGCTTTCTATTCTGTTAATCTTCCCATTTTTAAATTTTCTCCAAAATGTATAGAATTGCAAATAGCACATGCCTGGCACTTACATGGATGCATTTACCCTTTAAATTCCACGTGATGATGTTTTTCATCAGCCATTAAAGAGTTTGCTTTCCAAAGTGCGTATTGCTCCAGTGTGGTCCCCATGTGCATCGGTCTGTAAACCCTTGCACTTGATCCTGATGGTTCAGCAGGGAGCGTCTGCCTCAGACTGCAGGTTTCTCTGGGGAAGTTTGACACGAGGTTGGGGTGGGGCCTTGAGCAAGCCCTGGAGAATTGGTCCAAATCAAGCTGAAGTCTTTATTCAAAGGTAGATATCACCTCGGCTGCCCAATCAAGTAGCTAATTAAACGGTAGAGACAGAGAAATATGTGGTCTTTCTGTATCAGTGCCCATCGAAGTCTCTGAGTTTTACTTAGAGTTTCAGATTTAATCCCTTGGTGCCTTCGGGGAAAGGGAGAGGTTAACAGAGTCTGTCAAACAAGGTGTGCTGCCAGTTGATTCCTAGCATCTGACCCATGGAGAGGAATCAGTCAGGTGACCTTTCATGCAATTATCTTAAATATGTTAGTGCGTTTGTCAGTGTTTGTCTAAAGGACAGGGACAGTCAAGCCCTCAGTCACACCCCTCTCTTCTGTGGAGAGGAGGGTGGCTCCCTCGTGTTCTACTTCTAAGGCAAAGCATCAGAATAGGAAACAAGGTAGCACTCCATTAACTGGATCGGGATTAACGCCACTGGACGTTTGGATGTTGAGAAATCCCGTTAGATGCATAAAAGTGCCTTTTCTAAGGTTGAGAGACACACTATTATTTTTTCCTCTAAATTGTGCTGACATAATTTCTTTTATGCCTTTCAGAACTCTTTACATGAAATGTAAACTTAAGCTTTTTTTTTAAAATTGTGATAGTATGTTCTAGAAGTCTCATGGTAGATGGAAGAAATTTGATACCACTTCTATTTGTTTTGATGTAAACTTGTCTTGCTAAACAATTTCCATTTATGTTTGTTAATATATTTGAACAAATTTCTTTAAAATAATTGGTTAATGGTTTTACACCATCCCTAGGCACCTTTTGGGGGAAAGTCATGGGTATCATGGGCCCTTTGAGAATTTGATGAAAATTAGGAACGCTTAAAAAAAAGCAACTAAATCTTAAATGTTTGCTTGCTATTTCAGTTCAGGATTCCCTAAAGCTTGGCTATGAATCTCAGCTCGATACACCTCTGATCCAGAAGGATTTGAAACAGCAGCTGGGGCCCGCACCACCAGAGTCCCCGCAATGACCATGGCCTGACCCAACTCTTATTTTTGATCAGTTGCACATTCATAATTACCAAACACTCTGGAGGGAGATTTCAGTTACAAGGAATTAGTGGATGAATTCTTTCACCATGTGTTTAATCTTCAATTTTCCCTTTGATTTTTATCACTGCAGTAAATGCTGTTTTCATTTCAAATGTTCATGTTTAAGCTTTCTCCTGAGGGTTTGTTTTGTTTTTCCTTCCCATGTGAAATGCTTAAAGCTACTTCTGAGTAGTATAGAATGGTGGAATCCCACTGAGTAGGTGGCTGGTAAAGTATTTGTTTATCCACTTTGTTTGTTGCAAATAGTTATTTTATAGGTTAGCAAAATGAATGTCCACTGTGCACTCCTGAGGTAGCCTGAAGAGAATCATGACTTTTTTCTTTTAATTTTTGCTTGGCATTAGAGACTTTATTGTTTTGACTGATTAAAAGGGCATGTTAAGTATTTTTATACAAATAAGTTATCAAGCATCTGGATATTTTCAGTGATGAAGTACGAGTCTCATTTTCACAACTGAAAAAAATTACTTTCAGCTTTGGAAGTTACTCTGTCCTTTTTCGGGAGACTGATGGGCAGACGGCCCCTCCCCAGAAGCCCTGCTCGTGGTGTCTTTGATCATCACTAGGTGCAGTGCTCTGTGAGCATCTAGAATGGAAATCTTTGAACAGAAAGCCAAATTGCTCGGCTCCTTTTGGTTTTCAGGGATGAAGGAAAAATATCTCACGGGATATAACCAACTTACTGGTTCAAATAAAATCTGACATCAGTGCTTACTGCCAGCTCTAATACCTCAGTAATTCCCATTTCATTTTATTAAATAATAAAGTTTTATATGTGCATAGATAGGAACTTTACAAATACTCCTCCAGAAAAGGGCAAATCCTGCCATCGAGTTGCCAGAGCACACCTCTGGTTCACATCAGTGCTTGCTGTGATTATGCGTATGAGAGCAGATACCAGTGCCTAATGTATCATATTTAATATAACAGCTTATGGTGTGTGCTGGGACTTTTTGGGGTAATATCAGATAAAAGTCCTTCATTTGGTTATAAAACCTGCTAATATTACATCTGTTGGCTGTATGTTTTAAACTAATGTGTTTCCTTCCTTTTATTCTCTTTTGCTATCCCTTTTTCTTTCTGCTTACCCTTCAAATTGCTGCTTTCACCCTCGCTCCACTCAGCTTGACTTTCAGGTTAGTATTTTCAGTTTTTCTTCTAACCGCCTTTCCCTCCTAAGCTCAATTTATTGCTTGCACTTGTTCAGCAAACACATTTCTGAAATGGTTTTCCTCTGGCCACCAGTTTTTTTTTTCCCCAATTTCATCCCATGCCTAAGAGAAGTTTTATTTTATGAGAAGGCTGTGTAAGTGGGAAAAAGCAAAGAAGAAGATGGAAATAAATCACTGTTGGATTATTTGATACATTCTATTCCTGGATTATAAAATCAATAAGAGAAATCATCAAGGAAACTCCCCAGTGCAAAATTGACTGCATGATGATAAAATATGGAGCAGTGGAAAAAAAACAAAATGCAGGATGCTAAATTTAACCTAGGAGAACAAAAGATTTGCCTGGGACACAGCAACTTAAAAGCTAAATTTAATAGTGCAAACCATTCAGACTTTTCGCTTAATAAATCACTGTGTTTTGAAAGATTTATAATACTTTTTTAAAGTCACTTTTGAAAATTATCAGTGTGTTAGTAACATATTGTACACACATGTTATTTCCTATCGTTGTTTTGGTTTTTAACTTTTTAACTTTATTTTTATTAGCCATAAGACATACTTTAATTACCTAGGGAATAGCATATGGACCCAAATGTAAAACTACATTCTGGGTGGACTGTGTGCACCCCACCGTTATGAAGCAAAATGGACATTTTGTTTGGAAACACATCCCAAGTTTGATTCATCTAAGATAGAGGACCCAACTTAACAACTAGTTCTCCTTTAAGTGAAGCAAGTCTTCTCTTTTCAATAATATATAGGGATATATCCTATATATCCCTATATATTGGTGGCCAGTATAGTTGCTCTTTTGACAGGCAAGTTGCATTATTTTCTCTTTATTCACATCTGCCTCTCTTTATCCCGCCCACTGCTCATCACCTAAGCTACCAGACCAGTGCATTTACACCAGCAGCAAACAAGTTCAAAATGACACCTCCTGCCCACACACTGATTTTGTCCAACTGCGCATCCCAACCCCTATGGCTTATACTCCTTGAAAATGAAACCCCTTCTTTGCTCCTCCCACCAACCACACGGGTTGTGCCCCAGAAACTGTCTTGAACTTCATCACACTGAAGGAAGCTGCTTCTCCATAGTCCCTCAAACAGACATCTAAACAGACTAAAAACACGGTCCTCTCACCAAAAACCTAATGATTGTTAAATGACTTTCTGGTTCCTCTGTGTGAAGACACAGACATCAGAATGTGGGTGGGGATGGAAGGGCTTGGGTACACAGCATCCAAACCTTTCCTCTAAGTTTTGGATCTGCTCATTTAATGAAACCTTAAGTTTTTTTCCTTGCCTACCTTTTTTGTTTCCTTTCTCCTTTGCCTTCCCTTTGCTGCTCTTAACCTGCACATGTTGAAATTGAAATCCTTGAGACCAGGGACCCCTTTCACTCTAACATTTCAGGCTTCCTGCCTAGGCTTTCAGATGTTGTCCACAGGCATTTTACTCTGTGTGTGTGTGTGTGTGTGTGTGTGTGTGTGTGTGTGTGTGTGTGTGTGTATGTGTGTGTCCAGGAACTGTCTTTGTGGTATTTAGCTTTTTCCTATTTCACAGTCAACAGACATGAACTCTGACTCTCAGAAGACAGGTTACTGGGGTAGGGCTGGGAGCAGTTGAAGCTTAGAGGGGACTCTCTGGAAAAGGGGCCAGGTGTGCTGATTTGGTTTGACAGAACATTCAGGCCAAGCCTTATCAGGTGACTGTACGTAGTGGTCAAGTCAAAGTTCAGATAACTTCAATATCATTTAATTTCCTTCCCCAGATGAACATGATGGAGAAAATGTGCAATCCTTGTAAACAGTCCTTAGTTATATTTTTAGTGTAGAAGGAATTGGGCAGCCCTGCTCTTCTGGAAACAAAAGAGTCTGTAGAGTCCTGGAAGCTTTCTTGAGCTTTGACAGGATTGCAGGGCTAACTATGCTTTTTTCCCAACCACTTCCAGGTTTACCAGTTAAAATGATATGAAATGTAACAATTGGATAAACACAGAATCTCTAGCCCAAGTACTTTCTTTATAGGACTCACAACTGATATACATATATTTGTGTGTACATACAGATATATGCGTGTGTGTGTGTGTGTGTGTGTGTAATATATTTAAAAAAATAATGTCTGATATTTCTTACTGTAGAAGTTTGTAGTCTGTCTGGTACCTCCCTGTCACCTAATCTGACGTTTGAAAACTTACTAGCTCTTGGGTCTGCTCTATGAGCAGTGGACTCTATGGGAAATCCTCTCCTCCAACTATTTAAAAATGGCCTCATTTCCTTTTCAAATTCTATGTAGACTCTCTAGCTTAAATTTTGGTCGACAGATATGAAATATTGGGTTTGGTAAAATGCAAATGTCATAATCTAAACCTGTTTAGGTTCTCACTGTAGAAAATTCCATTTCTGTCAAGAGTCTCTTTACACACAAACCAGTGGGAAACCGGAGAGGCTGAACAAGATCCTGCATTGCACTCAGGGGGAGGGTTTATGTGAAAAGTGCTCATTTCTAGGAACTATTTGAAAGATTAGTGTGTGACTTATGACAAATGAAGTTATCTAGATAAATTAATGCAGCACTTGACCAAAAAAAAAAAAAAAAAGTATCCTTCGGGAATCAGTTCAAAATCCTGTCAGAGAATCAACCAAGTAGAACCAGAAGGCTCAGGCCTGTCCTGGGCTCTCTCATCCTTCAGTTTGCTTTGCATCCTGGGTCAGCTGCTTCTTTTTTTATGCCTCAGTGTCCCCTCTTGGAGAGAAAGGAGCTGTCTTTGGAGCAGGTCTCCTGGGATCCTCACTGCACGTGTCCGAAGGAGGGGGCATTGGTGACAGGCCCGGTGTGTCTCCCCAGCGAGCAGGCTGGCACCTGGCAGCAGGCGTGAGCTCATTGTTACAGAGTCACTTCAAACAGTTCTACCAAAATAAACTCTTTGTGATGTTTCCCCAAAGCTAAGCACTATGCTCTCAATCCCTCAGTCTAGCAAAAGATGAAGTCACTCCTCCCGGAACTCAGAGGCCTGTTGCCCAAAGAAGTAATGAAAACCATCTTGCCCAGAACATCCCCTGCTGTCCTGCAGTTTGCTCTTTGTAGGGTCTGTTCTTGGCTCCATTTTCTCCAGATTACATAGAGAGTACCTACTGTGTGCTAGGCTAAGCATATGTGCTGGCCTGGCATTTCCAAAAACTAGCTGATGGAAAACTGATGAGACAGTTTAAGAAATGCTGCATGTTACATTATTTTTTTAAAATTCATGACGCACACTGATGCTACTGCTAATAGAATAGCAGAAGTAGCAGCAGCAGTAATTACAATGCACATTGTGTCAGCACTGAATCAATCACTTTTTGTAGCATTTACCCCCTATAACAAATGTATGAGGTTGAGACATCATTTCCTCCATTTTAGAGAAGAGGGGACTAGAGGTCATAGAAATTAAATATTTTGCTTAAGTAACTACAGCATGTAAGTGAAGGATTTGGGGATTCCCCCCAAAAGCTAGTTCTTTCTGATGGACGGATCGAATCTTTGACCTCTTCAGCTCCAGTTGCGTAGTGAAAACTCTGAGAAGGCCTGCGGTCAGGAAATCTGGGCAATTGTGTTCAGCCTGCTGTTTCCCAGACATGGTGTTCACAGAATATTTTCCATGAAGCACTCTGAGGAAATACCATGAGATTCATGCCTGTCCCCCAGCCCACATCCCAGCCTGAGCTGGTTTCTCGTACACAAATCCTGCCCCTCCAGGGACAGCCCAGGTGTCGCCTCCAACACCATGCCTTCTCTGAAAACCCCCGGCAGAAGCAATTTCTCCCTTCCTTGATATCTTCAGTGCCCTATCTGACCCCCTTATTTTTGGCTCTGTCATACCCTACCTCAAGTTAAGATAGCTAGTTAGTGTGCCATGTCTCCCAGTAGAAAAGAGCCTCCTTGAGTTTAGATGGGTCTCTAGCTGGACGCAGAAACTTCACACTGGAAGTGGCAGTCGTACTCCTGAATGTCATTGAATAAATGGTTATTGAAGACAGGTGTTTCCGTTAGCTCATCTCATCCCTGCCATCGTTTACTTGGTCCCTCCAAGAAAAATAAAAACACAAATAAAGCAGAGGGGGAAAGACTATCTTCTGAAGTTACTGCCTTTCTCCCTCTCCCTTTCCTCCCTCTCTTTCTGCCTCCCTCCCTCTCTCCTTTCCTTTCTCCCTTCCTGCTTCCCTTCTCACTTCTCCCCCTCCCTCCTGTGCTCCCTCCTCCCTTCCTTTTCTTTCTTTCTCCCTCCCACCCTTTCCCTCATTCCTTGACTATGGATTGAAATTCTTCTCCGTGCAACATTCAGTGCTGAGTGTTGGGAATATAACAGTAAAAAAGACATGGCCCCTCCCCTCACTGAATTCAAAGACTAACACTTCCTATAAGGAAGGATTTGGCCACTAAGAAAATAGTTTTTCCCATTTATACTAATAACTGGAAAAACTGGGTTTTGGGTGTTTTTTAAAACTCCTTTTCCTTTTGGGGTTGAAGGGGTTATCCATAGGTCAGACAATCATTTCCCTCTTTAAAGCTATCTTATACTAATGCTGACATTTCTGGTGAAGTGTCAGAAAATTTTATGCCCAAGCAGAACTGGTAGAAAGCCAGAAATCAGTTGATTTTGCTCTGGGTGCAAATATTTTATTTGGGATGGAAAAATGTTGTTTTCCCTGATTTACAGCTCCTGCAAACATTAAGTGTGTTCTATATTTAGAAATGGTTTTTAACCTTTGAGGTGTAGCCAGGGGTTGGTTCTTGCACCTTTCCGACCTGGCCTTGGTGGGACTTGCCACGGCTAACGTTTTGCTGAGGCAGCTCCAATTTGTAGAACTGGGGCTTTATGCTCTGTATTATTTTTACTTTTTAGTGTTGCTCTGGTACTCTCTGTACCTTCTAGGTACATGAGGTGGATGGCAAGGAAGATGGAAGGAACACACTGTG